CACGGACCGGTACCGGTCCGAGGCCCGGGGGTTGGGGACCGCTGCTTTAGATTTTTTTTTAGATTTTTATGAATAAATAAAAACACTGAAGCATCTTTAAAATATAAAATATCTTAAAATTGTGAATTGGCACTATAGAAATAAAACAGAACTGAAATGAATAGTTTTCCTTTGCGTTTAAGTTCTATCTACTTTAAAGCATAACATCCACGTTATATGACAGACTATTCATCTCTTATTGATGCATTGATTTTATTTTGTGTTCAATTCAGAAAAATGTGATTGTCTTTACTCCTCAGTGAATCTCCTGTAGCTTTTCCTCCTGGACAGACTGACAGTTTTATCTTTGATACAGATTGTTGGTCGTTTCCACGTAGCAATTTACATCACTGCATATGTTCTGCTTCGATGGATGAGCCACATCTCTGCGAGGACATTCAGCTCACCCGCAGGATTGACTGTTTAAAAAATTGATGTTCAAAGTTCCCGCAAAGCATATCAAGCCCTCTTTCTCTGTCTGTCTCTCTCTCACACACAAACACAAACATGGACGTGTACATCTTTCTTCATTCCTAACAAACCTTATCTTGAAGTAGATGTGACAGGAGAGACGAGTAAAGGAGACGAGATGGTAAAAACCTTGGGATTCGATGTCAGGTACCGTTACACAGAACTTTTCATTTAGCTGAAAGGACACGGTTGCATGCCGATTCCATTTTTGCTACTATGGCTTTGCTTTTCTCTGAAGAACAAAATGAAGTTTTCTATCCAGAGCTTACTGAAGATTTGTCCATACACTGTAAATCCAAATAATGACATTTGTTTATTAGTAAGTTTACTTTTATACTGAGGTGTTGCTTCTGTAATGGCAAACAGTGAATTCATTTATGCTGCAGTGCTTGTGGTATCAGGTACAGTGTATAGGTTTAACTATAATAGACCACCATGAGTGAGAATCCTGTAGTGATTATTGATTTCCAGTCAGTGGGCATTTGTTCAAATATTAATTCA